TTGGTCTCGAGACCGGTCTCGAGACCAAGACCGGTCTCGAGAACTACAACACTAAATTAAACAATAAGATATTTTTCCACTTAGCACAGTCTGTCCATCCAGTTAGTTTCTGTGGGATTTGGTGAGGTTTCCAGTCCCCCACAATCTCCCAGCACCCCAATACAATGAGGCTGGATAGGTGTTCATTTGTGGAGCTCAGAACGTTAAACATTTACACAAGGAAAACTTAATAGCAACAAGTTCTGTCAGGGTCAGCGACCATCCAGCCCTGCCCTTCATGTTCCCTTCCCGTTTGACCAGCAGGTGTCGCTGGCCATCTTTATCCTCTTCCCTGTTTCCTTCAGCCCCAGTGTACCAAGTCCCTAATGTGATTGCACTGTTATCCTGACCGCCGCATAGGTCAGTGGGCTGAGTGTGTGCTTCAGACCCTGTTTCCTCATGTTGTGGATTTGACGCTGGCTTGAGACTAGTCTTACCTGAATTTTCGTTCTGTACTCTTTATTTCTCCTTTTCTTTATTTCTCCTTATTCTAGAGTTTCCCCAGGTTTAGAAACACAGATTTTTTGTGTTTCTAGTTTTTCCGGTTGGTGTTTCCCCTAGTGCTTGCTGTACATTCAACACCTTGAAGTACTCTACTTTTGGTACTTTTTTTGGTAGCTGGTGGGGTAGAAAAGCACCATTAGTTGTTGTTACCCCATGTTTTGGGTTTTTCTGTCATTTATTTTTTTAGACCAATGTTCCTGTTTGATATTGATAAAAATGCAAATTGATATTATATAAAAATGTCAGATCAAGTATAATTTAATTTAGGATACAATTTATAGAGACTGCCAGCAGGTTACATGTTAATAGTATTCTCTGTAGAAATGTGAGGAATGGAAATGTACAGGAAGACAGTGACTAGTGATGTGATTTTTATTTACCATTTGCCCAAGTACAGTTACATTGGAATTCTTTCCTTCCCCTACCCTATCTTTCTCTCCATACCTTGGAGGTCACAGCGCAGGGTCAGCCAACATGTGGCACCTCTGGAGCCTTGCTCAAGAGACCACGGACAAGTAACTGTTCTGTTGAGGTCAGGGCTCAAGCTGGCAATCTTCCGATCATGGGCACAGAGACTTAGCCCGCTAACCCAGTCGCTGTTCGCCAATGATCCATTTGTTTTCAACAGCTCTTTGATAAGAAAGAAGGCTGCTGAGTTATACTTGAGAGTCCTTCTCTGTATTGTTAATCCACGCCCTTTTATATGAAGAGTGAAATCCAGACTGTGACACGAGGTAAACATTAGCGTTTTAGGTTCCTTAAAGAATGAGCAGGATTTGTCAGTTGCTGATTGTAAACACACCATTCAAAGTTGGCCTCCTTTATGGCTCAACAAGCAACAGAGGGAGCGAGCGGTGGCCTAGCAAGCTAGAGTGTGTATAGTATATAAACACAGGTAGATCTTCGCCTGCTAAGGCATTGTTGCCTGACGCACCTCCTCCGGTGCCTACAGGTTGGCTTGCTGTAGGGTCATCAGCCAGGTACCACCAGTCCTTGATGTTTTGCCCCTTTGAACCCGGAACGTCTCCTGGTGGTGGGGCAGCAACAGGGACGTCTCCCACTCGCCCCCCTGCAGCCTGTCCTTGAGCTAGGTGGTGCCCCAGCATGTATCCCTCCTCTTCAGCCACAGCCAGAAGCTACTCTTGTCTGCCAACTCTGCCAGATCTTTGGCTGCTTTCCAAAGGCTTGCCCCACACGTCCCCAAATCTCTCAGGAGGTGGGCAGCTGAATGAAGAGAGGGAGTGGCATTAGTAAAAGCAAAGCAGTGAATCAGAAAAATAACATGTTTTGTGATTGCTTCACAGCGTTTAAGTTCTAAAGCACAAATAAAGGCGGCCACACCTCCGCACACCCCAGCGGGAAGAGTTTTGTGTGAGTGCAGCTGAAGCACACAATTCACCCTCTTGTCTGCTGTGGCCTCTCTGCGTGTGTGGTCATGTATATACCGTATTTTCCGCACTATACCGCGCACTGCATTATAAGGCGCACCGTCAATCAGTGGTCTATTTTCAAACTTTTTCCACATACAAGGCGCACCGGACTTTAAGGCGCTTTAAGCAAAACAAAACAGTCAGATAAGCCAGTCAACCAAAATTTATTTTACATCACGTGTTCACAATGACAGTCAACATTGTTCAAACGTTTATGAGCGTCTTCACTACTCTTTAACACGTAAAAAAAACAAGAGTCTTATACCACTAAATCAAAAGTCAGCCTATTAACAATAACTGTAGCCTTAATGCTAGTGGTGTGGCTTTTCAGTTTACCAAAGTAATGCTAAAACATTCAAATCGCTTCGAGTTCAGTATGCACAACAGAAATTTATCCACATTTAAAGCGCACTGAATTATAAGGTGCACTGTTATTTTTTAAGAAAATCAAAGGCTTTTTAGTGCGCCTTATAGTGCGGGAAATACGGTATTTATTGTGGGCAGTATTACTTGTCTAATAGGTAACCTTTATAATGTATTCCATTACAGATTACTGAATACATGCTGTGAAATATAATGTATAATGTCACATTCCCCATGGTTAGTAATGTAATCTAAATACTTTGGTACTGTGTATCACTCTATTTAGCTGCATACATATCAACATCAGGGAAAACCTCATTGAAACCAGCTCCTCCATATTCACCATGTTGTGATACTGTTTACTTCCATGTAGGGTGATCAGGTTATCAGTCAGACTATAGCTGTTTTTTGAAACAGTGTACTGCATAATGTAAACAGTATATACTGTATACTGGGTACTGTTAGTATCCTGTATGCCAGGTTCTTCATAATAGTTTTGTAGCACACTACATTTTTACTTGACCTCCCCACAAGCCTTTGAAATCCATCATGACCATTCCCCAGAGACAAGGAACATTTAATACTGTGTTTTTCAACACTTGTCAGGTGTGCCATGGAAAATTATAAAATTCTACAAAAAACTTATTACAAATAAAATTATTAAAAATAACTAAATAGGCTCCAGTCCCGGCGGCTGATGTTCCACCTCCTGCTCCGCCCGAGGTCCCGGCGCCGCCTCCCGCGCCAGAGGTCCCGGCTCTGCTCCAGTCCCCCCAGTTCCTGACCCGGCTCCAGCACCACCAGCTCCAGTCCCTGTCCCCGAAATGGTCCCAGGCTGCCCGACCACAATCCCTTCCCGCTTGGGGGAGGAGGAGCTTGAATGGGACCCCTCAGGGATTTTTCTGATGGCCCCAGTGGACCC